TCGACTACAGTTTATGTTGCCTTCCTGGAAGTGTTGCAAACCTCTGCCCTCTGTGAAATTCTATCTAACTTCTTTGGATGACCAAATGGCTCATTATCCAGAACAAGAATTCCCTTAGAAGTACAAATGTCTCCCCACATCTTATGGTAATTAGAAAAGCAGTTTTCTAAATAGCATGGCATCCAATTATTTTTAGAGGCACTAGTCTTTATTTTAATTGCCTATGAAACTGGATCTTTCCATCCTCTGTCTGAAAATTGGGCTGGCAGCCCTTGACTGAGGGGCACAGTCCCTGAAAACACTATACAAATTGTACAGACAACAAAGATATTATAGCCAGAAATGTTGTCCAGTGAAATCAATGGAATAAAAAATAATGAATGACTTAAAAACAAGCTGTGATAACCTATATAACAAAACAATGAAGATTTTGAAGCAAAACCCAAAATAAATTGAACATCCTTGTTTATAGTTAGATTTTTGTTTCTACAATAGTTCCGACTAAAATCTTCAGTTATCTATTCCTGAACCTTAATTATCTGGCTCTCTAATTTATACAGTTTCCCAATGTATTCTGTCTGAGTACACCATCACATAAATTATGCTCTTTGTTTCCCAGTATTTCACATACAAGGACTGTTGTCTTTATAATACAATGCATGACTTTCTTCTTAATGCTCCTACTCCTACAGTATGTTTGTATAAAAGTGTCAAGTTGCTTGCTAGGAAAAAAAAGAATAATTAGAATGTTCAATATTTGTGGAATGACACTTTTACACACAAAAAGCCCTTAAAACGTTATTATAAGTTGGGTTGCCAACTACATGTTGGAAAATTGCTGGATATTTCGAAGGTGGAGTCTGAGGAGGGTGAGGAGAGGAGGGACCTCAGCTGGGTATAATGCCATAGAGTGCATCCTCCAGATCAGCCATTTTCTCCAGGGAAACTGATCTCTGTCTTCTGAAGATCAGTTATAATTCCAGGAGATCGCCATTCCCCACCCAGACACTGGACATTCTCAATGTAAGTTCATTATATCTTAAGGCAATCACATGCACATTGCTTTTCAACTCTATGAATAAATGAATTTTCAAGGCTTGCCTATCTATAGAAGAGGTTAAACTAAAATGAAACATAATGTTACTAGGAATAGGGCCCAACAAGCTCTAGAAAGAGGCTCTGGGCAGATGCCCTGGCCTTGGGCACTCAGTGTCAATTTGCTGTAGTGACCTCAGCAAGATATAATGATACAGAGCTTACTGATCTCTGCTATCTGAAGAGCAGTTGTAATTCTAAGTGATCTCCAGACCTCCCCTGGAGATTGGCAACAATGGTTCCCCAGGAGGACATGGCTGGTTTGGAGGGTGGAGTCTATGGCATTGTACCTGTCTGAGGACCCACCCCCTCAAACCTCACCCTCGCCAGGCTCCACCCCTCAAATCTCCAGGAATTTACCAACCTGGAGGTGGCAACCCTATCCTCTTCCCAGCCAACTATTGGCATACCTTTATCTTCCCCTCTGAATTCTGCTTTCCATCTCTCCCACCACCTGGAGCCTCTATTTAGGAAAAGTACAGTCTTTCTCCACAGTGTGGACCAAAGCAGCTCACATAATTCTCCTCTCCCCCTTTTGATCTGCACAACAACCCTATGAGGTAGGTTAGGCCAAATGTCTGTGAGTGGTCTGAAATCACCCTATCAGATTCCACAGGAAGAACCTGTGTCTTGCAGACCCTGCTCTGAAGCAATAACTGCTCCATCACACTGGCTGTCACGGGGGGGCACCTCAGCAGGGTATAATGACACAGAGCTTACCATTTTCTCCAGGAGAACTGATCTCTGCCATCTGGAGAGCAGTTGTAATGCTTTGCCTTTTTACTATCAGAACCAAGTTTGGTTGCCTAGTCACAGCCACTGAGGGAGAAGTTAGTCGCACAGGAGCCAAGCAGAAATTTCTTTGTCAAGGAGAGACAGCTGTTTTGGTAGTTTATTCTGACAGGGAACAGTGGCTGAGGTGGCAGTGGACAGAGAAGAGGAGCAGACCCAGCACCCAGCCAATGGCACGTGAGTACTCTTGAGTGGCGGTTGGTGGGCCAATGGCTGTTGGAATGCGCTGCACAGCCAATGGGAGAGCTGGAAAGTGCCAACACATTAGGGAAATTATATATATCAGATGCTTGTCCAAAGAAGTAAAATAAAACATAATGTTGTACTTACCCAGATGACAGTTCACTTTAGACCTGTTTACAGCATTTTGTTTTTTAGGTGTGTATGACCAACCTCTGCTTCTTCTTCACTGTGAAGCAGATTTTTCCTGCCAAAATTCTTAGTTCCCTTCAGGTATTGAGCTAGTAGTGTGAATCTGAATGTCCCACCCTTTGACAGAATCTATGGCTTTTGCCAAGCCCAGGAACTTGTCAGGAGAAAACAAGAGCCCTCTTTTTAGATCACTTGAAATGGCACTGGAGACTGTGTAATAGTGAGCAATGATAAAGGTTTTATTTAATAGGCATGAATGGTATGTGTAGTCAGGAACTGGAAAGGCTGGGGTAAACGTTGTTGGTAAAACAGTATATTTTTCAGTTGACAGACAAGATGGTGTAGTAGCAACTTGTTTTTACAAATTCTTGGTTCTTATCTGTGAGAGATGGTTGACTAAGTCTTGTAGTTTCAGTTACAATGTCTCTGCATATCTTATATTCTAATTTCCAACAGAGGGTGCCGTGTGCGGATACTTATTTCCACTAACAGGAAGCTCACTCTGCTCCAACAGCTTTTCCTACATAGTCAGTAGACTACCAGTGTCTGCAGGAAAATCCAAAAAGTTAAAAAATCTCTTCAGGGACCCCCCAATACCCTTTGAAATGGCCTCTGCAGGGATCTAACTCCAGGCATCAATGGTGAGAGAGAGATTGGAACGTTCAGGGCGGGGGGGGGAGCTTCTAACTGGCTCTGTCAGTGAAAGGGTGGGGGAAGGGCCCTTTCCTGGCCTCTTTTGGCCTTTGAGGGAGGGAGCCTTGGGGCCAGGCCTCACAAGAGTTGCCAGTGCCAGGCTGGGGGATTTCTTGAGATTTTGTGGAGGGCTGGGTTTGGGGAAGGGAGAGGCCTCAGCTGGGTCTAATGCCACAGAGTCCACCCTCAAAAGCAGCCATTTCCTCCAGAGAGACAGATCTCTGCTGTCTTGAGTTCAGTTGTAATTCT